TATAATAATAAAAATATTTTTAAATATTTTTTTATTATAAATATTCTGTGCTGTCTGGTTCAATTTTTAAACATTTTTGTGCTTGATTATACTTAAAATTAACTTAAAATTGTTAATTTTTACGCATGTTTCAAAAAGTCCACTTATACGTTTTTAAGTTAAAAAATTAACATTTTATTTTTAATAATGTATATATTTTATTTAACTCTGTTATGAGAAAACACGCAACTTGCGCGATATACTCCATATCATTTCGAGATTGAATTTGATATCTTTTTTCTTTCTAAATTAATAATTAGATTATTTGTGTTTATAAAATGTGAAATGAAAAACTTATGTTGTATTAATTAATAGCTTATTTTTTGTACGTAAAATTTAAATATCGATAATAATTATGAGTCAATGGCAATAACATTTTAGGATTAATTTAAATTGAAAATAACATTGTAATAGAATCAGCTAGGCTAACTTAGTTTATAATGAAAATTAGTCACACAAATATGAAAATGTTTGTAACTCAGAAACGTAGTTACAAATAGAACAAATTTATACAAATATTTTGTGTTATTTTTGTGTTCTGAATTTATTTCTGAACTACTTGTTATTATGAAATACAATGTATATACAGTCCATTCTTATGTTTTTAAATTTTAAGTCATGTATTTAAATAAATGTGGTAATCTTGAAAAGATCTTTTTTAAAGTGACAGAATTATCGATTAAGAAATATTTCGAATTATCTGTACAGATTATAAATTTTTTTTCTTAATTAAAATACGCATAAATAAAATGCGAGATAATCGATTTAACGAAAAAATCGAAAAAAGTTTAACAAAATTATAGGAAATATTAAATATCATTTTTTAATTTTTTTTTTTTCGATTTTTTTGTTAAATCGACCTTATCTTGCATATTTTTCTACATATTGTGATTGTGTAAAAGAACTTTACAATCTGTACAGTCAATTTGGAGTATCTTTTATGTTGGAGTATCTGTAATGTTGTCGATAACTCTACGTTACTTTAGATTCTCCTTAAGATGTTTTAAGTCGCTCACAGAGCTTTTAGTAATGTCCTTAGTATTTTAAGGCATTACTTAAAACGGTCTTCAAATAAGAATGGACTTCGAATGGACTATTACTGGCCTAAACTGACCTTCAATTTAAATCCTGGGATTTTCCCTTCTTCTGATTTTAAAACTGATTTTGTAATTCTCTGCGAATACTCATTTCATTTGCATTTATAATTATCCGCAACAGTATCTTAAATTATTCACTACTTCGTGTCTATAATTGCTCTTTTTATGTGAGCATTTATAGCATCATGTGACATTGAACATTGACCGAAGTAACGTGATATTAACTGTTGACAGGATCAACCAATTGAAATGGGAGGATATTTCACGAACAAATATTCAATGATTCATCTCCTACTATATATCCGCCTAGCTACAATTATGATTATTGAAACTATCGCGTTACACGCACATGCATTTTGTGTCGTCCTGCTAATAAATCATTCATTTTACATACTGCGACAGTTGTTTCGCGACGATTAATCTCTCTCTCTCTCTCTCTCTCTCTCTCTCTCTCT